GCTGTGCCTAGCCACACCACGCTGGTTGCTACACAGCGATGCAGTAAACATCTCTTGGCAGCGTTGTCCAGCAACGCCTCTGTAAACACAGCAATTATGCAACAGTGAAATAAGGTGCATTTTCCATTGGTCTGATGGAGAGTTTATAAGAGAAACTGGAATTCCTAAGCAGCAGTTCTCGGAGTGAGTTCGCACAGTTAGTGATGAGAGAAGCACATAAATGGAGTACAGAAGAATACAGAAGGTTGCCCTGTGATGATGCCAAGTGTGATTTAGAAGACTTTGTGTGTGCTGTGGTGCAGATATATCTGAAGTGATCTGAAGTGCTACGACTAGTCGCTGTGTTTTAATTGCATTACCAGGAGAGGACTCATATGTGTGTAACAGTGAATTATAATGTGTTTGTAAATCAGTGATGGCATTGTATTGAAGTGTAACTGAGACAGAGTGTGTAACCAAACTGCTAATAAATCCAATCATCTGAAGAAGAACCCATCATTTTGTCACACATAGCCCCCTACACGTGACAATATCAACAATATTTCATGACTGCACAATAAATAACGAGATAAAATATTTTGTCTAAATAATAAGAATACAAACTGCAACAAAACAAATATCTGAAAGCATCAATGCAGCAAAGAAACGTCAACTAAGCCAAAAATATATATGTGGAGTTTCACAAAGTTCCACTGTTAATACCACACTTTGCACACAGTTTTGGAATATGCAAAAACACAGTTTATCCAAAAAAGGGAAAGCTGTGGCTGAATACATACTCGTAATATGCCTGCTTCATGCTTGGGAGTTCCCGGACTCAAATCTGTACTGGCTGTACTATATAAGAAACTGATTTTCCTCGTGTCCATGAGGCAGATACTGGGATAGTACATCAAATTAGGCCACAACTGCATCCTTCACATCCTTCAGTTTCTCCTCCCTTTCAATGCTATGCCATTAAGAAGGTTGGTCAAGAAGTAAATACAGAGAAAAGTATGTGTTAATCTCTCGTTACCAGAATGAAGGCTAAAATCGTAACATAAAGACAGTTAATAGCTCCTCTGAAAATATGGAAAAGTTCAAATATGTGGGAATGACAGTAACAAATCAAGATTTGATTCATGAAGAGATTAACAGCAGATTGAATTTGGGTAATATCTGCTACAATTCAGTTCAGAGCCTTCTGTCTGCTTGTCTGTTATTATAAAAGCTAAAATTAAAATATACAAAATCATAACTTTGCCCACAGTTCTGTATGGGCGTGAAACTTGGTCTCTTGATATCAAGCCAAGAATATGGATTGAAGGTAATCCAGAACAGGACATTGAGGAGAATATTTGGACCAACGAGGGACGAAATGGTTAAGGGGTTGGAAAAACTGCATAATAAGGAAAGAAGGTAAGAAATGTTGAGAAGAATGCCAGTGTCAGCATGACACTAAAGCACCATTCACGAGAGCAAACATCAATGTCACAGACACGCCCCTTCAGAGAGGAAGAAATAGTGATATGCTTGTAGGCTCTTAAGGAGGGAGCAACATGACATGATGACTGAAAGCCAGAAAAGACATCCATTGCTAGATGTTGGCTTGGTAAACATGTTTCTCCAGCAATAAATAAATAAATATGCAACATTAGAGGAAATACTGGACCATTGTTAAGCAACAGCCCAGGTAACACATCATGCAACAATAGCAGAATTGTTAGAAGTGATGTTTTCTGTATGGTTAGTACCAAGGCTATAATAAGGAGAACCAGTGGCAGTTGTTAGTCAGATGAGAATGTCAGTCAGTTCTGAGATAAGTCACCAGCCAGCAAGGATGTGAGCATGAAAGCAGAGGAATGTCCACTGTTGGAAACTGCTACCAAGCAACAACCAGTGGAGACCATATCAGACTGAGAAGACTTACTGTGTGCTATACACTTGTAGAATGTGTAGGCTTAGTGACAGCATTATACTTAAATTTCTTTATTAAAATCCGTCACAACACAATAACAAAACAGTTCATGTTTAACAGTATTTCACTACATGTTTTGGCTTTTTAGAAAGCCATCATCAGGCAAATACACAATTAATGTGTTCTTAAGCTATTGAATTGCATACTATATAATTCAGTGCAGTAGTGTTGGATTTTCCACAATATACCATAATATAATAATATAAAATGTAAAATACAATAAAAGATAAGAGATTTTAAACCATATGAATTACATAATTAAGTTGCAATCTGCCTTCCCACCAGACCGGACATAATACACGTATATAGAGGTACCCATCAAATAATATGAAAACTAGCTAACACTGCATGCATACCAACTGGCCTCCAAGTCTTTTAACCACTTCATATGTGTATACAAGCAAGAAAACTATCGCCATATGTCCGCAAAAACACTATGACAGTATTACGACTGCAACAGCCTACCTTAATAGGACACTATATGTATAGTTCTTAATTATATTTTAGTTATGTAACTTACCTCATTTAAAATCTTTATCTTTTATTGTATTTTATATTTTATATTATTATATTATGGTATATTGTGGAAAATCCAACACTACTGCACTGAATTATATAGTATGCAATTCAATAGCTTAAGAACATGTTAATTGTGTATCTGCCCGATGATGGTTTTCTAAAACGCCAAAACATGCAGCAAAATACTGTTCTACATCAACTGTTTTGTTGTTGTGTTGTGATGGATTTTAATAAAGAAAAAGGTCAGATAAAAAGTAGTGGCAACACCTCTATAGTTGTGAAATGACTTTATTACCTGAGGTAAATGCACTTACATTCCTTCAATATAATCACCCCCCATGTGTACCACCTTCTGCAAAATTTGTGGAAGGCGTCATACACCATTAGCGCGTCCACTTCTGTTGATGTCCAGCAGTGACCACCCTACAGCATCCTCTCTTGTGTTGTAATGTGTCCCTCGCAGTGGTTCTTTCATTTTGGCAAAGAGATCATAATTGTACGGACTCATATCGGGTGAGTATGGTGGATGTTACAGTATCTCCCATCGCCAGGAGATCACTGACAGCGTCAGCAGTATGAGCCCTTGCACTGTCATGAAGGATGATGGGGTTTCTTACCAACAAGTGTCATCGCTTTCTCCTGAGTGCTGGACGAAGATGATTACACAGGAAATTGCAGTATTAGGCAGCGTTTACTGTCTGTTGTTGAGGTACAGTGTGGTACAGTATCACTCCATCAATGTCATATGCCACAATGAACATCGCCTTCACATTACTCTGTGTAGGGCGCACTTTCTTTGGACAAGGAGAGCCAGGATGCTTCCATTCATCTGATTGTCGCTTCAAGTGCAGTTTATATGAGTGAGCCCATGTTTCGTCCAGAGTGATGATCCTTCCAAGGAAGTCATCACCTTCCCTCTGGTACTGGTCCAACAAGTCCTGTGCAATTGCATAACGTTGCCATTGTTGCACCTCAGACATTGTATGGGGTACCCAACGCACTGCAATTTTGTGGTATCTAAGAATATTGTGCAGAATGTGAAGCATGGTTTTGTGACATATGCCTACCTCAGCAGCTAACTCCTGCACAGCCCATCGACAATCGGCATCCAGCAAAGAAGAAGTTGAATTGTGTGGTTGTCAACATGGGGTCATCCTGAATGACAACTGTCCTGAACGGCATCCCTCTCTTCACAGAACAATTTTGCCCATCATGCCACTGTGCGATATGGCAAAGCAGCATCACCACATACTTCTCGCAGTCCCTGATAACAGTTTTGTGCACTATGACCTTGTACAACTTCAATTTTTATTCAGGAGCGTTGTTCTTTTCTTGTAAACATGTTGTTAGGGGACCTTGTGTTAATGGCTAAGGAAGAAACTGTGCTACAGGGCATGATTGATAGACTAATTGAAATTGGAAGGTGCTATGGCATGGAAATGAATGTGGAGAAAACAAAAGTAATGAAAATTTCGAGACAACCAACCCCAGTCACAATAAAGATAGACCAAAAACAAGTGGAGAATGTGAAATGTTTTAAATATTTGGGTAGCTTGTTAAC